TATTTCTGTACAGGGCCTCAGCCTATCGTACAAAATGTAATGGGTAGAAAAGTGCATAGCACGTTCTAAACACAATACAACATCTATGTAAACATATGGTACTAAGTTAAGCTGAATTCATATTCATCTTGTCGCTTAAAAACTTTTAAAAGATATAAAGCTATTTGATAAAAGGTGTGGCAGTTTGTGTAGCGACGAAGTAAGCCCAGACTATCAGTATTTGCAAAATTGCATATTGCATTATTTGACAAAAGATCAGCCCTTAGATCATTATATAATGAACATATAAAAACAAATGAATTTCATTTTCTACCATGCTAAATTCAAACGTATCACTGCAAAAACTAATAAATTATTGTCTTAACTGTATTTTTGTGTGTCTACCTATTTCAACATTATGTTTATGGCCAAAACAGCGAAAACTCGTCAGTATATATTTTAGTCTATAATTGCTTGCCAATAAATCTCCAAGGTTATAATACTACTTTCATTTTTCCAAAAGTACACAGCCTGGATGATTGTGAAATTGAGGCATGCCACTATTTTTTATTCTTTTGAGTAAATATCCCTAAGACATTTGCAGTATCTCCAACTTGTTTTTCAAACCAGACAATGCCGAAACCATATTTGAAAAGGAGATTTTTATGTGGGTTTTGTCTAATCGTATAAGCATGATATAACATGTTTTGGGGTTTCAGTAATTTTAACCAATATGGGATACAACGCTTGAAATAACCACAGCACAATGGCAGCCTTCCACATTCGTCTAACATCGCTACATTGTTTGTACAACTATTAATGCTAAGTACCGGGTAGATATCTGCAAAATGTTATCTGTACCCTCTCGATTTCCGAATTTACGTACCCCCATATCGCTACCATAAGAAATAGTTGGCACAATGATTGCATCAAACAAATTAAATGCACTAACCAATGGCATACTACCAAGTTTCTTACAGTATGTAAATATATTTGGTTCCCTGTAAATCTGTTTTAGAGGGCGGTAAATTATATGCATACAGTGGCAGTTTAGCAGCGGTCTCAATAGACTTCAACTCCTTTTATGAACCCACTAAAAATATAGAAATTTTTCTGAGACATCAAAAAAAAAACACATGTGAAATATGTTTTCAATTTATGATTCATCGCATAGTTTCAGTGCTGAAGCAACACTGTTGCGTAAATTGTTGGTGCAAAAACTCTTCGACCTATACAACTCGTGATGATAAATCTTCGGCATTTTTTAATGATCTGTTCAACCCGTAGCTGTACACTATTGTCCAATAACAGGCCAAGTACTAATACAATAAGTTGACTACATTTGGCTGATACACTTGGAACAAAACAGTATATATGCCATCATTAACTTGAAGAATATAAAACTAATGAACCAAACTAGGAAAGTACAGTGTGTGTTAATTCATTGTTTTTTCCAGATATTGAGTTTTAAGTCATCTAATATTTGAATCACACTAGAATTTTGTGTACCTAAATTGTACATTTTAAAACCAAGCTTATATGCTTCGCTCATTAGTGTATTTCCTGTATATCTTTTATCCGCATCTAATAGTTTATCATTTACCTTGTGCTTTCTATGACAAAAATCGACCTAGTTCAAGTAAGCAAGCTAGATTGAGAGCTCTGCTATTTACCTTAAGCATAATCTTGCAAAATTTGGCGTGGAGTTTTTTTTTTTTATTGGAGCTGCAATGTAACACAAATCCACAGTGTATTCAACTATGTTACTTGTCCACAAGTGGACTGGTTTAATTACTGCATCAAAAAGCTTTCGATGAATTCGCAATGGGATACATGGTTACGAAAATCGTAATCGTTACGTTTACCTGTTTTATTGACTATTACTACTTTTGATTTAGTAATGATAATTTCTAACTGCCATTTTTTACAGTATGATTGCAGGGTGTTAATAACTATATGCAAGCTTTTGTCTCTGAGTGAAAAAGCAAGTCATCTGCATACAATAGGCATGGAAGTTGGTTGTTAAGCAGAGTTGCTGAGTCATTGTATGAGGGATTTATTTGTTTTGTAATGTCCTTTATGTATAAGTTAAAAAAGCTGAATCACCTATTCTCAAATAATTGTGGTGATAATCTCTATGTTCCAAAATTATAGATTTGTTTTGTAGGAATACCCGCCTTAATCATTTCATTTGTAATGTTATTCATAGCTGGTGCTTTTACATTTGTTAACTTGCTGATTGCTTCATGAATTTCTAGCTGTGAAATGTATATACATTTGAAGGATGTTACTTTGACATTGTTTTACCTCGTTTCCAAGATTATGTTACTATTCAAGTTTGTGAATTTCAATTGTGATTCAATATTTTCACTTTTCTTAAAATTTTCACTTTTTTTTTAAATTTCATAATTAGGTCCCAATACTCCTTTGGGTTAGATTTACCCATGTTATCTAGTTTGTTCAATACATGGTTTTTTATTTCACCTTTATTTTTCATTCGTAAATGTTTGTAATTTTTATTTAGGTTATAACATTTAGATATCATGTCTTTGTCATATGGATTAGAACATAGTTTAATTGACAATCTGTATATCTCTTTTTTATAATAGAGAGGTCACTGTTGAACCATTTCATATTTTTCTATTTTCATTACAATA